CAAAGGAAATGGCCATCAGGACTTGGGGTGGAGGGTGTGACCTGAAGAGTTCGGTCCGTAATCTTGCTGGGAGCATGTGGTGAGAAATTTTGCTTAAATCTAGTATGGTTTGTAAAGTTAGGTATCAGGAAATGTCTTGTCTTTATTTTTCTTGTAACCATTTCTGACTTTTGTGTCTCATTACTTGTACTCACCTAATCTGTTTTTGTAGTTAAAACAACAAAACACGTTTATTCTCTAATTCAGTTTGCTTAAATGAAGGTGTCTGGATAACTTTGTTTAGAATAACAAGCTAGTGTTTATTATTCCCTTAAAGGAATAACAGCCTTAATGTATTTGAACTATCCAGGAGATGGCTGGGCAGTGCAAAACAGTATATTTCTGGGGAAAGTCCCAGGGGTCACCCTGCAGTATTGAGGTCACCCTGCAGTATAGCCAAGGGCGGTGGGAGCTAAGGTGTGGCTGGCAGGCTGCAGTTACACAAACTCCATGCTGGTGACTGTTTGTGAACAGTCCAGGTTGGAGACTATAACAGCAAAGCATTTCAAGACACCCCAGGTTACGGGGCAGGGGTGACACAGGTCCCCCACTGGTCGGAATATCATACCAGTGTCCGGTATTAACAGGTATCCGTGCTGAATTAGTGGGGTTCTATTTTAATTTACACATTTATTAACTTGTTGAGAAACAAGCACTTTTTAAAATGCAAATAATATTCTCTTTATTTTGCTGCTGGATGGTGATGTTTGGTAAACAGCCTGATTGTTAGGCTTTGGCCTTGGGGAACTTGCAGCTGCTCCATCCATGTTCCCTCTAGACACTTGTGCAAAGTGGGGATTGCTGAAGGGGGAAGATAAACAAACAAGAAAATGGTGTAGATATTATCTCTGCTTGTAACCTGTTTGAATGCAGTAATTATTTGTAAGGACAGATCCCAGTTTTGGACTATGCATTTTACGGACACTGTATTGTTTTAAACAGATTCACAAGTCAGCAAGCTGGGTATTAACTATCAGGAATGCCTATATTTTAATATGTAAATAGGAAAGGGTGATGGGTTTTAATCTTTTTTCCAATGGTACCCAGGGTGGTAATGACCGTTTTTTAAATTCCAGTGACAACAGATTGTATATGGCACAATTAATGTTTCAACACTTCCAGTATCTTCTTTGAAATACTTTAATGTTTTAATTTATTGTACTTCTCGCTTAAGGCTGAGAATGGGATATATTCACAGCTTAATTGGTGGAAAGATGACTTATTGTAATTTAAAACTGATTTTAAAAAAATTGTGTACACACATACACACTTATTTATTTGGAGGGATACATTGAAAATTGCTACAAAATTGTGTGTGTGTGTGTGCGCGCATGGTGTGGCTGAGAGAAAAATCATTGGATACAATAGTCTAATGCGGTTTCATTGTGGTTGATGCACTTTAACGGGTAATGGAGCATAAAAAGGATTAAAGCCCCACCTTTAATCGGGATATAGAAACTTAACGTCAAATATAGTTTCAGGCTTTTTTTGAGCAAAAGCTGATTTTAGTGAAAATCCAGCTGGGGTGGGGGAGATAGGATCGCGTGTGCACCAGCAGCTGCCACTGGAACATAACGAGAAGAGTCTTTTCCTCAGGAGCAATATTCTGAAAAGCAGGTGATCTGGTGGCTTTGCCACATATTCCAAACAGGAGGCAGGCATATACTGGTGGTGATTTTGATCACCCTGCTGTGCTAGCCATGGTTGCCCAGTTGTCTGTTTCTCCCACAAACACCATCCCAGGCGGCTCCACAAGCATGGGGGTGAGGAGGGGCTCTCCCTGCTATCAGCCTTTTCCTCGTTCATATCCTTCCTTAAAGCTCCACTCTGCTGTGATGCGCACAGAATAGTGACTTCTGCTCGCCGCTGGGCAGGTAGCTTGTTGCGATTTACTGACTGCTGCTGCTGATTGGCTTATAACATCTATGAACGGTGCACACATTCCAAAACATTCTGTGTGAAATCCTAGCCTCAGTGAAGTCACTGCTCATTGACTTCAGTGGGGGCAAGGATTACTGTTACATCCTCTCCCAACCTGTCATGCCTTTTTTCAGAAGGCAAGCTCTTTGAGCAGAGACTGTTGTTTACTACGGGTGAGGTTTTCAAAAGTCTGCTTCATATGTTTGTGCAATACCTAGTGCTGAATGGTCCCAACCTGGTTGAGGCCTCTTGGAGTTACCACAGTGAAAACAATGAATGAGCATGATTAACTCCAGGGTTCTGGTCTGACTCCCAGCTTAATGTATGTGTGGGAGACCTTCTGAAATGACTTGCATTTTCTTCCAAAGCCCCAGCAAGAGCTTAATGTCTCTTGGGACATAAATTGTCACATTTTCAAAATGTGTTTAAAAATAAATTCTAAACCTCTCAAGTTAATTTTTGGTAGGTTCAAGGTTGTGGCCAATGCAGTGCACAATAATCCGAGGATCTTGGCCTGCGCACCATTTGACCAGTCCATTTTCACTGGTTCTGTTGTGTTCTCTTCTATGTAGATCCCCATGCTCCTAAAGGAAAACAAAAATAGCCTTATGAAACCAGCCACTGTCCCAGATTTCAGGTCTTAGGTGGCAAATATGAGACACCTTGGATTCTGTCTCTAGACGTGGGCTCTGCAGTAGAGCGATGATCTGCTGGTTTAGGGCACTAGCCTAGAACTTGGGAGATAGGAGTTCAAGTCCCTGATCCACTCCAGGCTTCTTGTGACATTGGGCAGGTTACTTAGCTAACTCTCTATGCCTTGGTTCCCTGTCTGTATAATGGGGATAATAGCACTTTCCTGCTTCAGAGGTGTTGGAGGGGATAAAATACACTGGAGGTTGTGAGATGCTCAACTATTACAGTAACAGGAGCCTGAGAGATCCTGCACAAACACAGTGCATGTAAGCTCTAGCTCAACTACAGACCTGTGAGTGTATCCAACAGGCTCAGTAATAAACCTAGCTTTCCTATGCATTTCTGAAATACTTCCTTAAGAAACCTTGAAAATATATATAAAAAAATATAGCTTGATCAAAGATTAAGGTCACTTTTGGCCTGCAGGTAATGCAGAGTATTTCTGAGTCTCTGTTTAGTGTAAGTGGTTGCGAACAAACTTTTGGGTTTACTCGTGTTATCCAGAGCAATCTAGTAATAGGAGCTTTTCTGGACAATGTAACACGTTTTCTGCTTCCATGCATTTTATATGAGAAATGGAAGCTCTAATACTTTTTGCAGCAGGGAAAGGAGAAATCCCTTTGGTTAGGGAAGTACCTTTTCTTTGTCCCATGATATTCCATTCAGGTATTGTCTGAGAGTTTTTATATCAGCGTGCCTCAGGAAAACTTGGTTTGGAGTGTAGTTGTAGCCTTGTTGGTCCCAAGATATTTGAGAGACAAAGAGTTTGAGGTAATGTTTTTTTTATTGGACCAACTTCTGTTGGCGAAAGAGACAAGCTTTCGAGCTTACACAGAGCTCTTCAAGTTGGAGAGAAGAAAAATTTGGTAGCCTGCCAAAATAATTAAACACACGAATATTTGAAAGCTGGGGTCATGCTGCTGCCCAAGCAACATCCAATACTGCCCAGGGAATGCAGCTCTAGTGCAGGGGTCAAAGGTGGAAATGGATGACGATAGCCATGTCAGGTGGGCATGTCTCTGTGAGGCACTACATGCATCACATAAAGCAGAATTCTCTCCCCCCTAGTCCATTCAGTCCCTCAGACCCCCTTCCTCTGGCTGGCAGGTCAGTTCTGCTGTGTCTGATGTCACTCACCTAGTTTTACCGGTTGGACCCGTAAAGCTGTCACTCTCACTTGCCCAGGCCCTGATTCAGGAAAAATAATAATAGATTCATGCATTCCAAGGCCAGAAGGGATCATTGTGGTCATCTGATCTGACCTGTATAACACAGGCAATAGAATGTCCCCAAAATAATTCCTAGAGCAGATCTTTTTTAGAAAAAGTCCAGCCTTGATTTAAAAATTGCCAGTGATGGAGAATCCGCCACAACCTATGGTAAATTTGTTCCAAAGATTAACTGCCCGTACTGTTAACAATTTACACCTTATTTCTACATAGCATATAGGCGGGTGCTTAAGTTCCATTGAAGCCAATGGGATTTAAGCATGTGATTAATTCAGGACAGCAATTAATTATATGCATGAGACCCAGATAATGCTTCTCTTTGGACCAGGCTCCAGGACAGTAGGGTTTTACCCAGCCTGGATGAGACGCTTTGTTAATGAAGACGATCTAAAGTGGTTTCAAAGTAACTTTATTCTACACACTAACTAAACAGTCATTTTACTAATAAACAGCATCCTTAGAGCTAAGCCTAAACTCAAATATGTTACTATTAGCAGGGGGGAAAAACAAATTTGTACTTTCTTAACTGCTGAAGTATCCCGTGTGCAAGTTTTACCTCTCCTCTTCCCTCCTCCCCTCCCTCCCCCCAGTATCAAACAGTTTTTTACATGTTTTTCCTTAGAAGAAAGATGATTGCTAAAGAGAGATTTTGTTTTGTTAAGGTTTTGTCAGGATGAAGTGAGCAAAGGGAGGATAAACATCTGACAAACTTAATGACCCTGTTTCATTTTGATAGTGCAGAAGTAGGTTAAAATCTCTTAAAGTCCTGAAACAGCACTCTGTTTTCTAACAGAGTATCTGCTAGGGTGTTGACTAATTTTGGTATTGAAAATGAACATAAACTTATAAATCAGCAGAGCAAATTAGATACTTGAAATAATAGCACCTTTTAAAAACGCTGCCTTCCTGCCTTAAGTTTCAATTTTATTTATAGCAAAAAAAAAAAAAAAATCTTTATATGACAAAATAACATTTGATTTATTGCAAGAATATTTCAATAGGGGTTTTTCCCCACCTCCAGCATTTATACTTTCCTCTTTGTTTTCAAGTTCAGGGAAGTGGTGGGCTTGGGCTTAGTTCTAGCTAAGTGAAGTTTTAAAACATGTTTTTGTCTTTCAGTCAATCTCCTGAGAGCCACTTTCTGAGTGATTCCAGCTTCCGAACATGGTTCCCATGGTAGGGGTTTTGATCCCTTGCCAGATTTGCCCTGAGCCATGAGTGAATATGTGTAATGCCCACAAGTAAAACTGGTGAGTCAACTAACCCAAGTCTGTAGTTGTTTTTTTTCCCCCCGCTTGTTACTTGGTATGCTTTTGTTTTTTTAGTATTGTTTGTGCTTAAAAATGTCACTAGTTTTCTGCTGTATAATATTATATAAGAATCTGATTTAATAATAGAAAAAAACTCCAAAGCTTACATGAAAATGCAAGATGTTATAGATGTTTGGTGGTGGGGTTGGCAGTTTGTGGTATAAACAGGCATGGTCTAAGCAAGGCTTTGCAGGCACTACACGTCACAATTAAATATGGATATGTAGAGGCCTTTTTCCATGGCATCGGTCTTGCTTTGCTTCCAAAGGAGCCATAACCAGAAAACAATTAGCTATCACTGTTTTGCCTTGCTTCTATCCCAGTGACAAAATGGTATCACTGGTACACACGAGTGCTGTCTTATCACATATGCCTGCCTTGTTAGCTTGGCATCCCGTAGCACAAAGTTTCCCATTGTTCAAGGTGAAACCCTAGATACCAAGCTTGGTTTCTCTACTGATGTGCATGATCCAGCCAAGTCAACTGGTGGGTGGGGGTGTGCCTGTTTCTCTATTAATGAAAGGTTACCATTTGCCCCTGTTGTTGTCCATATGCAGTCCCCATTGTGACCCCTTACCTGTAGATGTGGAGTAATCCGGTTAGGCCCCTTTTGGGACTGGGCTGTCAGTTCCACTCTGTGAATTGGCTTGCAGTTGGTGCAGAAGGAGTATTGGAGCTAGTACTTTGAATTCCTCCCCGCAGCTCCACCAGCGTGCAGAGCAAAGTCACTAACAAATGGAGATCACTCACCTGGCACATCCCTTTTCTCTTTACTCCCGTCCCATGTCCCGCCTTTTACTTATGAACTGGGCGGGAGGGGGACAAAAAGTCAGGAAAACAGGAATCATTTTATTTGCAAGAAAATTAAAGGATATGAATAAGGAGGCTTTTAAAAGCAGGAAATCTGAGTAATTAATTTGCATTGAAGATGGGGATATAAATTGTTTCTTGAAAATAAATTTGGGTTTCTGGCACATGTTTAATAATATCCCTCTGTGTCTTAGGAAACCCATTTCAATTCAAAGATTATAAAAACACAGAAATTCACACATGAGTGAATTGTGTGGTTTTTTTTTTAAAGGTTCTGTGCTTCTTTCCCTCCCCCCCACCCCCCCCAGAGGTAGCATAATTACCATGTCATTTAGCAAAGATTATAATAACTGCTCAATTTTTACCGACTGGTGTAGTAAACCGTTGAATAATCCCATATGGCATCTCAAAGTATGTGTGTGTGTGAGAGAGATTTCTACCAGTTCCTTCATATATGAATTACCAACCTTGCTAATGTGACTGAGATCCTAAAATGGGGAGCAATTCCAGATTTCTCCAGTGATGTCTAGCTGGGCAAGAAAATTCTCAGTGCTCCATAGCAAACTGGTCTTTTGACTTTAGTGATGGTGCTAGCTAATTAATTTAGTTTCCAATAAAGCAGGCATAGAAAATTTGTATAGGTATATGGAAGATATTCTTTCCCTTCGTAAAGCTCTCCTTCTGTATTTACTTAAATCTCCTATAATAACCATAAATATAGAATTTGTGGAGTCTGAGTCCTGCTGTGAAAGACTTTAATAAAGATCTAGGCCTTTCTGAGCATGGCATAGGCTAAGTGCAAGAGCATATGCTATTATGATAACCCTGTGGCATTACCTGTAATGGGACTCTGTGTCTGTTCTTAGAAATAACACCCAGAAGAACGGAGAGACTTTAAAATGTATCCTTGAGAGAATAGGTTGAATTATGAAAGTGAAAACCTGTGGTTAACTAGTATCCCGAGTAGAGAAGAAGTGTTCTAGAAACCAGTTCTCTCAGTAGCTTCAGTATTAAAAAATTCAGGATGATTAATTCTCTCCAAACACTGGACTGAACAAAGAGAGGCATGTCCATATATCTTGTAAATCTGGCTGCTTTTAGTCCTCCTTTAAAATTTCGGGTCACACAGTAGCCTTAAGATCTCTGAACAGAATCAGCTCCCTAAACACTTTAAAAAAAACAAAAAACAAAAAACTGCAAAATAACAACATAAAATGAGCCAGGCATTTCTGAGCAACCATTGGCAAGGAACAGTTTGCCAGAAATGGTGCTGACACACTTATTTTAAGCCTTATCTTGTTTCTAGCTTCTAGTTGCATCATTACATCAATGTATTATTAACACCTTTCCCAGAATTCTCTCTAAGGGTGGAAAGTTGCCTGGCTGGTGTAAGGGTGACTTGCTTTTTCCATCTTCCTGTTCATCAGCCGCTAGAGGACAGCTCTGAGGAGCAGTCCTTTCCCCTGTTGCAGTAAGATCCACCTTTAAATATTATTACTGCTTCCCCCCCCCCTTAAGCCTTCGTGATGATGTCAGGAATTCATTCACACCCTGTAGATTTTAGAACTTTCCAGCTTATTGAGTAACAAAATGTGATTCCTGCTAATTGTGTTGACTGAATACTTAGAGCCTTTGGAAGAAAAGAGTTCTTCTTTTTAAAGCCTAGCATCTACTTGTGTACTATTTTATGGCAGGCAAAGGTCATCTGGGGCAAGCAGCCAGAACAGTGAATTGCTTCATTGCAACGCGTAAGAAAATGAAACCAAAAGGGACGGTAAAGGTTTAAACAAATTGCTCATCGTTACCAATTTTTAAAGTCAAGAAATTGGTGCTGTATACGTTTTTTTTAAATTGGAGATAACCATGCTTGCCCAATAAATTGACTTAAGAACAGAACAAATCAAAATAATGGTTTGGTGCTTAAAGTCTGGATTTTCAACAAGATTTCGCACAGCTTCACCCATGCAGTTCAGTGGTCTGAACCCCAAGCTAATTGGAGAGTTATAAAACTTCTACTTTGCTTTTCAGCTACTTAGCGTCCTTTAGAGAGTTACTGTGTTTTATGAGCATTCCGAGCAGACCTCCCTGCTCCCCCATGTAGGAAGGGGTGCTGTAATCTACATTACAGCTGCCATTATTCCAAAAGAGGAAGTCTAGATGGGACATCACTTGGTTCTTAGGCCTGGTCCACACTAATCCCCCACTTCGAACTAAGGTATGCAAATACGTTAATAACGTAGCTGAATTCGAAGTACCTTAGTTCGAACTTACCGCGGGTCCAGACGCGGCAGGCAGGCTCCCCCGTCGATGCCGCGTACTCCTCTCGCCGAGCTGGAGTACTGGCGTCGACGGCGAGCACTTCCGGGATTGATCCGGGATTGATTTATTGCGTCTAGACAAGACGCAATAAATCGATCCCAGAAGATCGATTGCTTACCGCCGGACCCGGAGGTAAGTGTAGACCTACCCTTAGTTATCTGTAGGGGTTTATGTTGTTTACAATGCTCCTTTGATGGCAGGGAAGCAAGGAATCATAGCTCTGTTTCTGGTCATATTCACACTAGTGTATCTATCAGGAGTACATTTACTGAAGTCACTGGAGTTGTACTAGCATATACCCATGGAACTGAGCTTGGGATTCAGCCCCAAGACCAGAAGTTCAACTTGGTTCTTTTGCATCAGAGTATGGGGGACAACTAGTCCGCTATTGGGCTAGGTCTTAACAGCAGATACTGCTAGGACAAAAGTGCTGTCTCCCTTACTACTGTGAAACATCAGTGGCTTAAACACTTTGAGCAAAACAAACTTTCTAGCCAGGAAACTTTTCTACTTGGGGGGGAAAAAGTAATTTTAACAATTTAATATACTCCATAATATGTTTTATAAGCTGGTGTGGATGATCCTAAGTATTTTGGTCTTTTTCATAACACAATGAACCTAATATTGGTAAAAATACAGATCTTAGATGCCACCATAAAGAGAAGCTAGATTTAATAAACAGTTATGAATGTTGGCAGCTGCCTATCAGATTGTATAACATCGACTATAGCACACGAAGACAGTGTCAACTTACATTTTATCTCCGAAGTATTTTCAAAGCGTTTATTTTGCTTTCTCCTGAGTCCTTAACCTAATTTAAGTTATATAATTGCCTGAATATTTTTCCACAGAGCTAATTGGCTCATTGCCAGTGTGGAAACCATTGTCTGACTTGATGATGATCAGAAATTAACATGACATTTGCGTGGTGGTAATGAAATATTAGTAATGTAATTCATGACTGTAAGAGAGACCATCGTCCCCCACCTATGATCAGCAGGAGGGGCTCGGCGCATGATGAAGTGCTCCCAGCAGGCACCTCACAGCAGTGGCTAGCCAATCTCTCTGTCAAATTTAGTTTTAAATTCTTCAGACAAAGCTGTAATGCTTACCAATTAATTACTACAAATGTCAATTAAAAATCTACCAAATAATATGGTAAGATTAAATTTCAATTAAAAAAATTACGTTTAACAAAGAAGATATAACATTATTTTAATGAATTCTGCTGAAGGTGACAGTTTATCTAAATATATTTATACTGTGTAGGTGGATCTAAATTCATTGGATAATGTTAACCATGTTACTTCATATACAAATTAGTTGTGAAAATTATTTCCACTGTGGCTATGTCCTGGAGGTGATGGGGCGTCAAGGGGCATTTCTCATCCTGAGAAGAAAGGGGAATTTTGAGCCTTTTAAGTACAGAAATCTTTTCACGCTTAAAATGAAAGATCTGTCGTAAACCTTCTTATTAGCTGAATTCATGGTATATCTCAGTGCTTTATATTTATAAAACTGAATATAGATTTTTGATAGTGGAATAGAACGAGACCTAACTTTGTTGTGACTGTATTTATTTTCTTACAATAGTTTCCCAGTTAAATCTGCTTTGATGTAGATGTTTTCCATTCTTCCTATGAGCCTGCTAACGGAATTATTTTATGCACACATCTGCCTGTGAAGGTAATAGATTGTAAATGGTGAGAGGGTTTTAATTGTATGGCCCCTAGCAAAGACCCCAGTTCAGCAAGCTATGCAAGTATGTGCTTACATTTTAAGCACATGAGTAATTCCATAAATCAGTGGGA